TTAAATAAAGTAATTAACGAGAACAAAATTTTGTTTGAACCATTTTTTACTGTTTGAAAACTAATACCATACCTTAGATACCCGAACCCTGCTCCAGTAAAAATTTAGTGACTTTATAGTAACTTTTAATTTTAACAATAAAATCACTACATTTTTATTAGAGCAGGGTGTGGTAGTTGACGAGAAGTATGACAAATGGTGAGGGGGACAATGGAAACCAACCTTTTGCCACCGAGGTTGTGCATATTGAAATCGTTAGTGATTTTGACAGCGAAGCCTTTATAGGGTGTTTAAAAAGATTTTTTGCTAGGTGCGGAAAAAATTTTGATTCCCAGTGGGCATACTTGCTCAAAAGACGTCCTGAGAATGTCTTTTTGCGGACGTCTTTTGGACTTGTGACAAAAGACGTCTTTAATTTGTCCCCGTATGGTATCACAGAAAATTAAAAGGCATTAAAATAATAAGCATTGCAGCTTATTTTAATGCCTTTTAATTTTCTGTGATATCTTAAAAACGTGAATAATATGTCTGAGGTACGTCCAAAAAAGGTCTTATGTCTGTTCATAAAGATGTCTTTTTCATGTCTAAAAGACGTCTTTTTCAGATTTTGAAAATAGAAAATTTTTCATAAAAATAACTTTTATAGTGAGGATGGTAATTTTGTTTTTGAATTTGAATATTGTAGAGATGATAAATAGGTGTCTCCTATTAAGTATTTCACTAACCTAATCATATCTGATAAGGTAGAAATTTTATTGACATTCTGGGATATACATACATATACATTTATTTTGGGATCATACCCCAGCAGCGAGAAACGACCCACTTTTTTCAAAAACCATGTACGAAAATATTTGTACGGGTTTCGTACATAAAAATTTGACTGTTGGTCAATAAAGTTTCTACCTTATCAGATATGATTAGGTTAATGAAATACTGAATAGATGGCATCTATTTACCATCTTAACTACAATAATTGTTATATTTTTTTTTCTATGTTCAACGTAAACATCGAAACTGTTTAAGATAAATCTTATAGAAATTTCTTAAGTTCGATTCATTTCATTGACAAATAAGTTTGTAAACTTTGTAAAGGATTTTATCTGTCTCCGATGACTCAGATGCTTAAGGCGTAGAGTTTGAACCCAACGTATCGCGGGTTCGATCCCAGGTTCGGGTGGATTTTTTCATTCCTGATTTCTGTATAAACGTATACAAATAAAACAAAAATCAAAATAAAGACAAAAATTAAGTAAGACAATAAATAATTAATGTGTTTTAACTTAAAAAATATTGTGACAAAAAAAAATTTCTAAATACTAAAGACGTCCAGGTGCTCACTAGGTTTATAATCCGATAACGGGACTAATTTAAAAGGTGCAAATCACGAAATTACAGAACTTTAAGACGTTTTTAATTATGAAAAAAATAACACTGACATTGCTCAAAATCTGGCTAATTATTGCAATATAAATTGGGATTTTACTCTCCTGCGCTCACCATGCACTTTGGTGAACTCTGACAAGTTGCAATAAAATCATTCATTCGTGACTAGATAACAAGTTTTCCAGAGCACAATTTGTTAAATCTGCTTTCAAATCGCTTGTCTTCTTGGCAGCAGATACAACAAATGAAACAGCACTTTTAGTGTCGATGGCATAAAGAGTACCTTAATTAGTTAACCATATGTAAAAAATGGCAAAAAAAATGCAAAAAGAAATGTTCAGTTTGGAAAACTAGTTACAATTCGCGATGATAATTTATCTCCTATGCGTTTCCATTCTGTAAAAAATGTAATTCATGCCGTAACCGTTAAAACTGTTATGTGTCAGAGTATTAATATTTTATCAAAAAATTTATTTTTAAAATATTTCATATTTGAGAAAAATTGAATATGTCGGCAATACGATTTTGATTTTTTACCCAAATATGAAGTTTGTTATGAATAAATTTTTTTGATAAAATATTAATGAACTTTCGTATATGTTAACGAATCCTTATAGTATTTATGAGTTCTATACAAAATTTTAGCTTAATCTGATACCGGTCATTAAGGATGGAGAGTGGCGAGCTCAAAGGGGGAGGATAATTTTCGAAAAAATAAACCTATTCCTGGTTAAAGAACTTGTGGCCCTGAAAAGTGCCGATGTGTTATTAATTGAACCTTAATATGGTTCGAAGCGCAGGCGTCGACGTGTTGATAGCGACAGATTTGGACTCGGCGAATGTTTGCACGGAGAGAAAGCTTCAGGGGACACGTCTACCGGAATGAATAATACGTCGGGCGAAATCGAGCGTACTATGGCGGAGGTCGGCACCTGAGAAGGCGTCGTCGGCAGGATTCCAGGTTTGCGCGGGCTTGGCCCGAACAGCTCTGCGAACTGGCTGGCCTGGTGAGGGTTCTTAGGGGAGACCGGTGGAACGGCACACGGAGGTATGACAGACGGCCGAGAGTCGGGCTTGTTCACCGGGTGTATGCGAAGGCCCTCTACACGAGGAGCGGCGGTGAAACTGCGGACAGGAAGCGAGAGCACGAAACGGGGCTGTCTTCTAGACCTAATTCTTGGATCCCTGGTCCGCGGGTCCCCTCGGACTAATTCCACGTAGAATAATGAAGATGGAGACGGCAGTGCGGGATGGCTCGGGTCGTACTCGAGGAAAGTCGTCAGGGCAGCGTTGTGTTCCCGGGCTGCACGTCGTTGGGCCCGCGCTCGGGCGGTTTTTCCTGGGCGGCGTCGCTTGCCGCACGTGAGGTTTCGCGTCATTCATAACAGCGGTAGTCAGTGCCGATCGGTCGAGAACCCAAGCAAGGTTCAGGAGCCGAGGACCCGTTCTACCGTAGGTGTTGGGTACCTGAACCCAATCAAGGTCCGGGGATTGTTGGTATGTTGAAAGATTCGCCCTGAAAAGGGCGGGTGAAGGTGTAGGCGAAGTGTCCAAGAGAAATAAAAGGCTGGAGTCCGTGGTTCCTTGACTATCTTTATTTTCTAGTATGCCCTGTGGAACACGGTACGCTGCTGGCTGGCGCTGGATGGCAAGAGAGATCACTCCGGCGGTGGTTCCGAGAGAGCCTTGGTACGTCCTTCCTGTTGAGAGTCAGTAAGCGAAGTGTGTCTGAGTCAGGGAAAAGGCGGGGTATATATGCGCCTCAGCCGAGTCGCATCCGCGGCTTCCCCTTCCCAGTTGGCGTGAACCAATAAGCGCAAGAGTTGCGTCCCCACCCGTTTCTCGCCTGCGCGGTACCGTACGGTGGAGATGTCAAGAGCGGGCGTCAGTCGAACGGCAGCGGTGCAGCGACGCAAACCTGCCTGGAGGCTCTTCTACAAAATGAAATGACACTTTGCCATGCCAGCCGCCAAGAACAGTCGTACCATGTTCCGATACAAAAACAGCTATCCTTAATAACAACGATTATAATTAAAAAAGAAAATATATATATTATTACTGCTCTGTAGGCAGAATGAGAAGAAAAGTAATATAATAATATTTTAATAGAAAACTTAATAATAAGAAATTATAATAAAGTATATAATTACGGGTTAAATTATTAAATAATGATATATATTGTTTCTATATTTTAATATCGAATACTTTTAACATTATACATATAAAAAAATCAAGCTAATCTAAGAAATAAAATTATGTGTTTAAAAGGAAAAATAGAAAGTAGAATAGAAAATTATCATTATTACTATATAATAGTACTATATAATAATAAGCAAATTTAAAGTTATTGTGAGGAATTCTCAACCGTTCATGAAAAGGACAAAAAATATATAGATAAAAAATGGACTAAATAAAACAAAGAAATATGAATAAAAATAGATTAAATAAATAAAATATTAATAAAATAAAATATATGCATCCAAAAACTAAATTTCTAAAACTCTTTCGCAACGCATTGCCGTACGGCGGCCAGAAGGGCCTTGGGTTTTTCCCACTCTCGCGCCAGACTGTTTTGGGTTTTCCCTCACAGTCGTCGGCGCCTCCCGCAACAATGGGCATCAGGTTCTTTCTGGATGTTATTGTTCGGGTTTATGATGTTTATACTTGTTTGTTTTCTTACCTTTTGGGCTAATATACACAAGTATAAACATCCCAAACTCCGAACACGAGAATATAACAAATCTGTAAAGTAATGTGCGAGAAAATCCGCGGAGTATATTTACATGTGAAAATACAACAATCAAATGACCTTACCACTTATTTTGCAGCTATCCCTACTACTTTAAAATTGTACCACTTATTTAGGGCCGATGCAATTTGATTTGTCTGTCTAACTTTGATTTTTGGCAAGATCACTTATGCACTCTCTGATGTATATCACACTGAATGTTGTTAATTAAATAATTAAATGTATCCAGTATATTTTGATTATGTATATTCTCTTATTTTACAATGTTTCTCAATAATTAACACAAATTGACAAAGGTACTTATCGAGTACTGTCACGGTTAAAATTTTACGCAGTTAATGTTCACACCGTTAATCTCTACACTCATTTATATCTTATTATATAAATATGTGTAGAATTTAACGGTGTACATTTTAACTGTGGAGAATTTAACAAAATGGATTTTTTTTCTAATATATATAATTTATATAATAAAAAAATTAATTTTGTTAAATTCTGCACACTGTAAAACGTTCAGAGTTCAGTATAATTTGACTATGTGGAATTAAATAAAATTAATTTTATTTTTAAATGTAAACGTGTGTAGAGTTTGACGGTGTGCAATTTAACTGTGTAGAATTTAACAAATAAAATGTGCTGAATTTTAACTGTAGAATTTAACATTGTACAGTTTAAATGGTATAGAGTTTAAATGTGGAGAATTTGAAACAAACCCGTGTACCTATGCAAATTTAATTTCAGAATTAAATTATTTAATAAATAATTATTGTCACATTGTTTGAAAATTTAACAATTGTTATTGAACAGTAGTCATTAAGAGTAATTATTGTATATGTGTATTACATTTATTTTAATTCATTTGTAGGTGAGAATTGTTTTCTTAGACTGGTTACCCTGTATACTTCGTATGTCAAGACCAACAGATAAAGAAGAAAAAGAAGCTCAAAAATCACAAAAACCTTCACCTGTTACAGGTAACTTTTTAAGCCTTCATACTGTTTGAAAATGCCATTATTGAATCTTATTTACGTATCTTTAACTAAATGTGAATAATATTTACTGTACTATTTCTGTTTTACTTTAATCCTAATGAGACAACATTTTTGAATTGGTGCTCTCTAAATTGAATTTTTTCCAATTTTAAAGATTTTTTTACATAAATTTTGACAACAAGATGAACTAAAAAGAGCCCTTTAAATACGTTCCTAAGGAATTATGGTTATTTAGTTAGTTATTTCAAAAACAACTTTCGAGACGTATGAATAAATATTAAGCTAATTTTTTAAAAATATGTTTTAATCTAATTTTATTCTGTAGAATATTAGTTTTGGAGAATAGTAATTTGAAAAAATCTTAATTTTGTAAAAAAATAAGTGTACAGAATTTGAATTTTGCAGAATATTCATTTGTTCCAATTTTTTATTTTAAAGAATAAATTATTAACCTATTACACAGGTCTACAAGGTTTTTTTTGAGATATCAACCCTGTGGGCAAAAAACCATGTACGTTCTAAAAACGTTTAAAGAACGTTTTTAGAACGTTTCTTGTCCACCAAATAATGTTCTGGAACATTATTTGAACATCCATGTTCTTAAAATGTTTCAGAACATTATTTGGCGGACATGAAACGTTCTAAGAACGTCCTTAACACGTTTTTAAAACGAAAATGGTTTTTTGCCCACAGGGAAAGTGCTTCCCAATGTATTTTTGTGTCCTGAACACGATCCCGAGTTCCAAAATTGCGTATCACAACAGGATTTTGAGTAAAGTGGTGATAAAGTCTCCAAAAACCGTGGTTTTGAGGATTTTCAGTATTTGATTTCTCCTTAACTTGACGTGATAGAGACTTTTATATAGGCTTAAATTATAGCTTATATCTTGCACTTTGAGACTCATATGAACAAGAAAAAAAAATTTAATTTTGAAAAAAATTAGGTACAAGTCACCCAAAAAGATTGTTGGGGTCATTATCTCCATTTTTTCAAAATTTCTTTTATTTTCCGCATACGGGTCTCAAGATGTACGTTTTGAACTTTAATTTAAGCCTATATAGAGGTCTCAAGCACGTCAGGTTAAGAAAAAAAATACTGAATACACTTACCTTAAAAACACGGTTTTTGGGGTATTAACCCCCAGTTTTTTTAAAATTTCAATTTTTTTTAATCTTGCGTATATGGGTCTTAAAGTGAAAGATATAAGCTTTAATTTAAGCCTATATAGAAGTGTCTAACACGTCGGGTTAAAGAGAAAAAAAATAATCAAAACCCTCAAAAACACTGTTTTCGGAGACTTTACCGTGAGAAGTAAAATCTTTAATGTGGGTCCAAAATGTTAAGAAACTTTTTTACCATCAAAACTTTTAAAACTGAGTAAACTTAGGTTTTTGGGGTCACTGATTACGAATCTGATGTTAGTTTTTAAAAATTCAAGATGGCGGATCCAATATGGCGGACATATTTTTCTAAATGCGACAGTTTTTGCTTGAAACACGTTACGCAGAGGTTTTCAAGGTCGCTGATTACGAATCTGATATTAGTTTTTCAAAACTCAAAATGGCGGATCCATATGGCGGACAGAAAAATTAAATAGCAATGAAAGTGATGTAAATCTACTTGTTTTTTGTACCTTTTATCAATTTTTTTGTATGTACGTCTATAGACGTACCCTCACACTTAAGGGGTTAATCAAAATTCTGATGTGCGATATGCAACTTTGGAACCCGGGATCGTGTTTAGTACACAAAAATACATTGGAAACCACTCTGACAACTAAAAAAAGTCTTATTTTGTAGACCTGTGTTATCAATGTTGCCAAATTTTTATTTAGACAATTTTTTTTGGAAAAAATTTGAAAAAATCGATCAGTACGTCAATTGAGAAAAAAGACTTTTTATCTATAAAACTTATAAATTTAATAGTCATATCATTTAAAAAAAAAATTTCCATTGTTTTTGAAAAGTACGTTTAAAAACAAATATTTTGAAAAAAATCTTTTAAAATTGATGCATTTTTAAGAAAGTTATAAGCATTCAAAAATGAAAAGTCATTAAAATTCTCAAATTTTGAAAAATTCATATTTTGAAAACGGCTTGATAAAAAATTTTATAAAATCATGATAGCTAGTCTCAATTAGTACTAAAAGAAAAAAAAGTTTCAAAAAAACGGAGATGCAATTGCAGATGGGCCTCAAATTTGGCGTGGAATACATCATATTTTACATAATTTTTTGTAATCCTTATATAAAAATTTAATAATTATGAATTATTCTTAAATTACATTTTAATTTTTAAAAAATGTCAAAGTAAAGCAAAAATTTATTATAAAACATAATAAAATTTTTTTAAAAAATTACATTTTTTCACTTCAAAACTAAAATGTTGAATATGTAATTTCTTTTAAATTTTTATTCTGTTTTATGTTAAATTTTTTCTCTACTTTGACATATGTTTTTTTCATTAAAATGTAATTTTTTTTTATTAGAAACCAATAATTTTTTTTATTTAAACAAAATTATTTTTGTAGTCCCAAATAAATTATTTTATAAAATATTTAGGGAATCCTTGAAATTTTTTTAAACGGCAAAACGACAGAAAAAAAATTTACAAAGTGCTTTTGAGCGCCATCTATTGATCAACGCGTGAATGATGTCGGTAATATGCATATATTATGGTAACAACAATCATTTATTATATATTGTTATAATTTAATTATTAACTACTATTTTATTGTATAAATATCAAAAATAATTAATGTTAATATTAACTCAATAGGAAAAAAGTTTATTTTCTGGCATTTTCCATTTTTTTCAATCACAAAATAGAATAAATCATAACAGGTAAATACGCTACACTTTAAATAAGTTAATTATTTAATAATAAGAGCTTAATTATCAAATAATATTGCATAAATCGAATCAGAAATGATTAATTTTTATTTCCCAATATCAATTTTACCAATATTTCAATTATTTTTTGCAATTTATTGCCTCAAACCCAAACGAACCGAAACTTGACCAAGCTCAGTCAACTTCTCGGTTTATACAATCTGCCAAGGACGTGGTCTGCAAGGATTTTTTTTTACTAAAAACTAATTATATTTTCCTTATGAATCAGATTTTAACGTTTTTATAAGACTATAAAGTATGTAATTCATTAAACACCTATTAGATATTATTTAAAATACTTTATTTATTCACTTCTCTTGTGGCAGTATTTATAACCTCGAAAAATCAAAAAGTTACACTTTATTCTCTTTAACGCACCATAAAAATTTACGTGTACATTAAAATGCCCAATTTTTTTACCACAGCTTTTGGAATACATAAAATTTTTAATTTTATCTTCATCTGTCTTCTAAAATACCGTATAATATCTGTAAAACGACAGTGCGCCAAGTTACCCGCTGCGCCGTTTTACTTGCTTCTCCCCTAAATTACTATTTTGCAAAAATAATATTCTACAGAATAAAATTCGATTAAAACATTATTCTAAAAAATTAGCGGTCTCCAACACGGTAACTCGCAACCCTATTAAAAATCCCTTGTACAAGAAAATTTATTTGATATTTGTATGCAAGAAAATGTTGGTGTTCTTGTCCATATTCTTGTGCAGGTTCATGTAAATTTTCTTGCACTAGATTTGGTACAAGTTCAGCTGCTGAACATGTATATTTTCTTGTACAGGGATTTTTTTAACAAATTTAAATAAATAAATTTTTTCTTTGCCTTTCTAATTTAGTTAGTGACGTATAATTAAGAAAACTTTACTCTTAGACTTTTGCTGTTGTCACATAAACATTGTGACTTGATAAATTTTATTGACGACAAAATAAAATTAAATAATTAATCTATCTCTGTCTATCTATTAATTACTCTTTAACAAACTTATCCTTGCAATTCCTATGCTAAATTGGGAACAAGTGTGCACCTTCGGGATTTTTAATCGAGAGATGTAATTTAAATAGAAAATATTTTTTATATAAATCCAAATTTTTGAAGAAAAAATAAGTTAAAAGTTTTTATTTAGATATTTCTAAATAGATACAATTCTTAGTATTAATGAGTATAATAACTATACCAAATTTTATTAAAATCTGTCAAAGCGTTTTCGAGATATCCTGGCGATAAAAAAGCTTGACATATACAAGCTCATATAATATAAGCTTATAAAGCTCATATACATATATACACATACATTTCATTTCTATCCTTTACAAAAATAATATCATTTCAACGTTTTAACAAATGCAATACTTTAATGTTAAATTTAAAGCGGACAGAGCTTGAACACTGGAAACATGTTGTTTTTTCCAGACATTTTTAATCCAGCCATTAACTTCTGAATGATTAACATTAAGAGCTTCGCCACTTACTTTACCGAATATTATATTATGTATTTTTTAAAATCTAGAAATCCTTCCGACACTACACATAAAATATTTCTTTTCTTTGGGGTTTCCATTTGGCAATAACAGACAATGTTAGCACGAAGAAGTATTGAAACAGACTGGTCAAGAAAGTAAATATGAATGAAAATCTGATATGTTCGTTAAAGTTGTTTTGCAAAATTTTAATTTTTTTAAGAGTTATTGCTTAAACAATTTTTAAGCATCCAATTAGTAAAAAAAAGTTTTCTACAATTCTATTTGATGTATTTTGCTAAAATTTAATATGAGTAACATACAATAATCGGGTAAAATATCTTAAACTTTTTCAATTGTTTTTCATCGGGTGCTATCGGGAGAACGATATACGCACATGCGCAAATATTTAATAATAATTAGAAAAGTGTTGAATCACACAGGAAAGATGTTTTTCTTCTAAATGTTCTGTAATATATAGTTTGTTCTGTTCGTGCGTATGTATCAAATGTATAAAATCTAAATTAAATTTCTAGTAATATGGATAATGTCAATATGTTTACTTAACCCATATATGAACAAATCAAGTATGACAACCTTTGAATTGTTAATACAT